GGTGGCTCAGTGGTTGAGCATCTGTCTTTGGCTCAGGGCATGATCCTGGGGTCCTGGGATCGAGTCCCACATCAGGTTCCCTGCATGGAGCCTGCTTCTCCCTCTGCCTCTGTCTCTGCTTCTCTGTGTGTGTGTGTCTCTCATGAATAAATAAATAAAAATCTTAAAAAAATAAAGAGGTCTTTCTATTGTTTTTTAAAGATTTTTTTTTTATTCACAAGAGACAGAGAGAGGCAGAGACACAGGCAGAGGGAGAAGCAGGCTCCCCGCGGGGAACCCGGTGCGGGACTCGATCCCGGGACCCCGGGGTCACGCCCAGAGCCCAAGGCAGACGCTCACCCACGGAGCCCCCGGGCGCCCCTTGCCTTCAGTTTTGAAGAGTATTTCACCGCAGCGCGAGTCCTTGGGGTGACAGTCCCATCAGTGACTGAGGTGCCGTCCTTCTGTGGGGAAGGCCGTGTGGCCGGCGGGCCCCTGCCCTCCCTGGTGCCCAGGCATCCATGTGGCATGTCCAGGGCGAGCAGCCAGTGTCGCTCGGATAGAACGTGGGGCTGCTGCTCCGTCCTCGCCGTGTCCCGGGATCTGCGGCGCGTGTCGTCTCCGGGGCCTCCGCCCCCCCAGCAGCGTCTGGCCTGGGAGTCCTCCTTCCCCGCACGGAATTCCCGGTTGAGCGTCTCGGGCCGCCGCAGTCCTCGCCGGAGCCCTCCGTCCCGCGCCGGGGCCTGTGGCGTCGGCGCACCCACCGCGGGCGCCCTCCCCGGCACCTGTGCGCCTTGCTCTCGCCTCCTGGACTCAGTCGGGGTTTCTCTGTCTGTTTTTCTCGGATCCTCGACGCCGTGTGTGAAGAGCGTGGACGCCGCGCGGCCTGGTGCGATGCCGTCTCGCGGCGCGGCCTGGTGCGATGCCGTCTCGCGGCGCAGCCGTCACTCGGGCAGAGCCCGTCTGCAGGCTGAGCTGTCCTGAAGCTGGCCGTCGCTGCTCGGCCGCCCGTCGTCTGGGCTCTTCCCTGGCCTCCCAGCCTCTTGGCCCCAGTGCTGTCCCCTTGCCGTCCAGGCGGCCGCTCATGGCCACACATGCCTCCTTGTCCCCGGGACCTCTGTCCTGGCTGCGGGGCTGGTTCCCTGGGGCCTTTGTTGTAAGACGTGGCCCCCCTGGTTTTCTGCGCCAAATGGCCAGTAGCCGGGTGCTTGGCTGTGGCCTGGAGGAGGACGGCCTCATCCGCCCTGGACCCCAGCGCGTCCAGAGTGCGTCCCCATGGTGGCCGGTGGCTTGTGTCCTGGCTGCCTCGGCCTCTGTGGCCGGCGCTCCAAGAGGACGGGACTTCCCACCGGCCGCCGTGCTCCTTCTGACATGTCGGTGCTTCCGGAGGGGCTCATGCCGAGTCCCCGAGGACACGGGACGTCCGCTCAGGCTGTCAGCGTGAGGGCGAGGGGGCCGAGCGCGGGAGGTCAGCTTCCGCCTGAAAGGAAGTGGCCGGCTTGTCAGTGAGACGAGCCCGAGGCCGGGCCGCCTGCTGGACGCCTGCGGATGGTGGCCGTGGGCTCTGTCCACCGCCCTGGCGGGGCCGCCGCGCGGCCACAGGCCTCTGACGATGGAGGCGGCAGGTCGCAGCCTGTACCGAACCCTCGGCCCGGGGCGGGGCCGCCCTCAGAAGATAAAACTAAGGCGTTTGTTTGTTTTGTTCCGCTCAGATCACCCGAAAATTCAGGCTGAATTCCGAAGGCAAACTTGAACAGACCGTCTCCATGGCGACCACCACCCAGCCCATGACTCAGCATCTCCACATCACCTACAAGAGGGTGACCCCGTGACCCCGAGTGTGTCGTGACCCTTCGGCTTCGTAGACGCCCGCCGCAGGTGCGGGTGGGCCGCGGGCTCGTGGGTTCCAGAGTCGCCACGGGTCCCTGTAACGGCGTAGGAAAACCAAATAAAAGGCCTTTATTTTTATGACTGAGCATTTCGAATATTATCACTTGTGTGGACTGTGCATTTCTTTCATCTGCTGGTGAGTACCCATTTTCCATCCTTTTCTGTAAAAAATTAAGGAGCGACTCTTTCTTTTCTCTGCTGGCAGCTTTGACAAGATCTAAAGTATTTATGAGCCTCCCTGGAGGAGCCAGCCATAAGCTGCCGACGAACGTGGGACAGAAAGGGTCGCGCTCGCTTCACAGTTTGTGAAGCTGACGGTCTCGGGCCGTGTCCACACCGATGAAGGGCGTCCCCAAGGCCAGAGGCGGTGTGAGCGGGTCCTCGCCTACGCCCCGCAGCCCACGGCCCCGCAGCAGAACGCGGCCCGTCTCCCAGAGGCGCGCGAACCCTCCTGCCGTCACCACCCCCCTGGTTTCCCTCTAGCGGCTCCTCCTCATCTGTTCTCCCTTCTATTTGCTGCCATATTTTTAAACAAATCCCAGGCATTTATCCCCAACGGCTTGTAAAAACAAAGCCGCTTTCTTCCCAACGCAGCAGCAGGTCCAGAGCCACGCGGGGAACGTGGACGCTGCAGGGGGGTGAGGCCGCGGGGCAGCCGCAGCCACCCCCGCCCACCCGGGGCTTGGGGACCCACGACATTACGGGGCTGGAGTCGCCAGGGCCGTGTCCCCTGCAGCCGGGATCCTCAGGAAACACCATGGCGGGCGGACGCTCCTGGGCAGCCCCGCCTGCGGGCGGCAAGCATGGCTCTGGCTCCCTGTCTACCCCGGACCCCACGGCCTCGCCGGGCGCAGCCCGTGCTGTGGCCTCCCGGATGCCGTGCTGCGGCCCGGGTCCGCTCAGGAGGGGCGCAGGCCGCTGCCGGGTCGAGGCCGAGCCTCGAGGCCGCTTTGCCCTCGGGCTGGAAGCAACAGAGCCCCCGCGGCTAGGATTTCCGCTGGTGGGTCTGGGGGGAAACGGGCCTCTGCGCTCGGAACCCCGGGGGTCCAGGTGGGCAGCAGCCCGAGCCCGGGGCAAGCAGCAGATGCCCGGCACAACCACCCGGCCGCCGCCTCCCGGGAGGCTCGTGGGGAAGCCGTCCCGTCCCGGCTGGGTGCTGGGGGGTCCGTCCTGGCGCCATCCCATCTGCTCCCTGCGGACGCTCTTCCCGGGGCCTCCCCAGCGCCTGTCGCGCCCCAGGAGCCTTGCAGGTCTGCCGACTGCCCTTTGCTGATGCTAAAATGAAGGGGCCCCGCGGCGGGAACGTGGTTTCCTCAGCAGCCACAGGGACGGTGCCTCCACGTCGTCCCCTCTCCACGGCTGAGGGCCGGTCCGGTCCATGCCACAGCCCGGGGCCTGTCTGAGCAGGGGGTGGCGCCCCAGGCGCGGGGACGGGCGGGGAGAGCCATGAATTTCCTACAGCAGGTGCGTCAGGAAGGGGGTGGGGAGCGCCCCTCATACTCTGCGCGCCCGGCTCATTCAGCTGCTGCAGTGTGGCCCCGGGGCAGGGCGGGTGTGGCCCCCAGACGAGGGCCCCGCTCTTGGGGAGTCAGGTGACCTGGTCACCCAGCTGCGTGGACCGACATTCTCGTCCTGTGGCCGGGGGGGGTGGGGAGCTCATCAGAGACACAGGGGGGCCTACGGAGGCCCCCAGAGACCCCCACGGAGACCCCGCACAGCCAAGGGCTGGGCCTCCTGCTCACGGTGCTTAAGGCCGGGCCCCGAGATCAGGAGTGACGTGCTGCACCGGCGAAGCCAGCCGGGCGCCCCCGACCCTGGTCACGTCCACATTTGGGGACAAGTGCCCGCAGGAGTCCCCGTCATGTGCAGCCGTGGGCCCTGGAACCACTTCCAGCAGGAAGCCAGCAGGAAAGAGCCGGCCTTCAATCATCCGCGGTCTGCACCCTGCTGTCCCCGGACACGCCACTAGGCCAGGGCGGCGCCCTCCTGGGTGGGTGGCCCCCGCGTGCAGCCCGACCGGGAACAGCTTCACACCTACCGTGGCCGTGCCACCCGGCCGTGGCCCTTCCCTCACCGCGTAGCCTGGGAGCCGCTTCTGTGCTCAGACACAAGACACGATGCATCCGTGTCATTTCCAGCTCACATCTTGGGATCGCAGAAGGTTTGACTTAAATTCTTTGATTTTACCTCTTCTGAGATGATAAGCCTTGGTTCTTCGCAAGACTAATGTCGTTTGCTTTATCCTACAGATACCTGCAGTGTTTGCAGGATGATCAGACTGGGGTTAACAGCAGGACCACGCCTGAAGTTTGCAGTTTTTCCCTCTTTTTTTGCACCTTTCCCAGCAAAGAGATAAAGTCAAAATATAGTGTAATGGGGGCAGCCCCGGTGGTGCAGCGGTTTAGCGCCGCCTCCAGCCCAGGGCATGACCCCGGGGTCCCGGGATCGAGTCCCACGTCGGGCTCCCTGCAGGGAGTCTGCTTCTCCCTCTGCCTGTGTTTCTGCCTCTCTCTGTCTCTTGTGAATAAATAAAATCTTAAAAAAAAGTTTAAAAAACTAGATCCTGTAGGCTTAAAGATTTCAATGTAAACTTAAAAATTGTAAAAATAAAAATGATAAAAAAATACATATATATATATATATATATAGCATAATGGGAATAATTCGTTTTCCCGGGTGCTCATCTCACCGACCTGACCTACATGCTCGTTTCTTTACTTAAACGCCCACAAATCGAGGGTTCTCAAGTTGGCTTTGCTTATGTGAAACCTCCCACGTGACGGCCGACTTTGCTGGGCTGCAGGGGGGGCGCAGGTGGCGCACTGAGCAGGTCCCCTCGTGCCGCACACCTGGCGCTTCCGGTCCCCGGCTGCTCAGATGACGTCACGATGACCCACCTGGCGTCCGGGGCTCTGCCGGCGGGGGTGGGGCAGGGGCCTGGGGGCTGCAGCGCCAGGGGACCGTCCCCACCGACCGGCCGCTGTGGTCAGCGCTGGGGCCGGCCAGCCTCCCGGGCGGGGAGACGGAGCTGCCGTGTTGGGGTTTGCATTCCTCTTTTTTTCTTTTTCTCATGGATTTTGTAGCTGATGAGCTCTTTTGAATTAGGAACATTAATCCTGATATTCTTAATGTTCGGTTACAGCGTTTTTATTGAGGTACAATGCACTGTTACGACATAAAGTTCGCCATTTTCACCATCGTAAAGTGTGTAAGAGCTAGTGTACAGTCCAGTGGCTTTCGGTATGTTCACAGTGTTGTGCGACCGTCACCTGTGTCCCCCCCAAACGCTGTCGCCCAGGAGACCCGTGACCCGCGAGGCTCAGCCGGGCCCAGCCCTGGCGACCGCGCCTGTTCTGTCTCAAGTCAAAACATTTTCGAAAAATGTTGAATGTGATAAACCTTTCGATCCAGTACGTGTTCTGTCTTTTATTGTGGCTGAACGTTGAATCCTCCGCAGGAGTCCGGCCCACTCCCCGGCTACGGAGGACGGCCCCCACCGCGGGTGCGCCCCGGATCGCCCGGCCCGCGTCCGTGAGCGCAGTGACCGGCCGTCTGCCCGTGCGTGTCAGCAGGCCGCCGCCGCGTCTGGCCGGGGCTCGCGTGGCCCAACGCCCGGGCCCCCCTCACCTCCCCTTTCCAGGTTCTTCCTGGCTATTCTTCGCTTTTTTAAAAGAATTTCCTTCCATGAACTTTTATGATCGGTTTGTTTAAATCCAGAAAAACCCCACTGCGCTGAGTTTACAGGGAGGGCACTAAGTTTATAAACGGACTCAGGGAGAGTCGTCTTCGGGTTTCGGCCCCGACCGCGGCGGTTCTGGCTTGTGCTCAAGGCCCCGGGGCGGAAGGCGCCGAGCTGTTGTCACCCAGGCTCGCTCTCGTGTGGGCGGTGCACCGACCCGTGTCATTGCTGCTGCTGCTGCTGCTGCTGCTGTGAGCGGGGCTGCCCTGCGCCGTGCCCTGTCCCTGGAGGGCTGGGGAGGCGGCCCGCCCGGGATCCCCGCGGCCGCAGACCTTGCTGCCACCTGAGCCTGCCTCAGGTCCGGGTCGGGGGTCAGGGGGAAGTGGGCTCCAGTCCTGGCGAAGGCGCGGGGGGGGGGGGGCCAGGAGCCAATGATGGCCTGGTGGTCGGGGTCCCCGCTGGGCTGCGAGGCTGGGTGCGAGGGCAGGACCCTGATGCATCACCCGGGAAGGGGCGCGGCCCCCCACCCGGCCCCCCATGCCCCCGGCCTGAGCGGGGCAGCCTGGGAAGGGAGTGGGGGCTGCAGTTGGCACAGGACCCGCCTCCTGCCCCGCGGGCTCGAGCGTGACATGCGTGTGGCCGTGGGGCAGCAGGCCCTGGGGGGACGCCGCGGCGCGTCTGTGCTTGTGCTCGTCCTGGGGGATGGCCTGCCGTCCCGGCCCTGGCAGTGCCCAGGACAGGCCCAGGCAGCGGACATGACCCTAGCGGGACCCGCACACACCAACCTGGTTCGGGCGTGTGCATTGCCGGCCTGTCCCTGCCACACAGGGACCTGCCGGGAGGGGACAGGCTGCCCCGCCAGAGTGGATTAAGCAGCCGGTGTGTGGGCCCCGTGTGCTGTGGGCGAGCTCGCTGAGACCCCACAGCTCCCGCCGCCCGGGCCAGACCAGGTCCCCTTCCGCCCGCGAGGCCCGAGCCCACTCCACCCTGCCGTGGGTGCTTCCCGGAGGGGCCCCGGGCATGGGGTGGGGCCTGGTGTTCCCCACGCCCTGCCCTTTGGACCCGGGAGCGACCTTGACTTCTGGCTCCAGGAATGGGACCAGCGGTTCCGAGGGCCGGGGCCTGGGGACGCGGGCTCAGGGCAGGGCCTCCAGCCCCGAGGTGGGGCCCTGACGGCGGGTGCGCTCCCAGGCCGGGCGAGGAGGCCGAGGCTGTGCGCGGGGCCCCGGGCTCGGGGGGCCTGGCTTCAGCCCGAGTGCGCGCCGGCCGCTCATCTCTCCGGCAGCAGCACGAGGAAGGTGGCCTTCAGGAAGCGGCCGAAGCTGCAGAGCGCGGCCACCAGCCAGTGCGAGCGGAAGCCGGGCTCCGTGCTCACCACACACTTGAGGACGTCGGTCTGAGGGGAGAGGGCGGGTTAGAGACGAGCGCTGCGGGGGGCGCCCGAGGCCTTAGGGGAGGTCCCGGTGGGGCAGCCCAACCCGGGAGGACGAGGAGCCCGAGGCCGTGGGCCCGGCAGGGGAGAAGCCCGCTGTGCCTGTGTCCCCGCGGCCACCTGCTCCTGCCCCCGGGGCTGCAGACGCCCCCGCAGCCCCCGCCTGGGGAGCACCACGGGCGCGCTGCCCCCCAGAACAGGTGGGACCGGCTCCCCGCAAGCCCACCGAGAGCAGGCCCAGTTCTTTCTCCTGCTGGGAATGAAATCTGCCCTGCGCTCTGGACCTCGACCGCGGAGCCCACTGGCGTCTGCAGCGGCGGCCGCGCAGCAGGCAGGAGGCAGCAGCGTCGGGTCTGTGCTGAGGACTGGCCGCAGCCCGGGTCCCGGGGGGGCCCCCACGAGCGCCCGCGGCAGGGGAGACGGCAGCCCCGGCCCGAGCTCCAGCACCCTTGGCCGCCACCCATCTGGGTGAGCTCTCCTGTGGGGGCTGCGCCCGGGGCCCGGCCGGGGTGGGGGCACCTGGCGCGGGGCCTGGTCAGTGACGGGTGATCCCTCCCGGGCAGCTCCTGCCCCGCGGGGTCTGGGCTCGGGGGAGCGGAGGGCAGGTCGGCAGGGAGCCGGGCAGTGGGAGCAGTGGAGCCCCAGCACCCCCCTGCAGCAGCGCGCCCCCCCCCGCACCCCAGCTCCCCTCACCCATCCTCCGCGCCTCCGCAGCCAGGGCGCCAGGGTCTTGCGCACGAACTCCCCAAGGCAGTCGACGAGCGCGTGGACCAGGGCGGGCTGGGCCTGTCGCACACAGTCCACCGCCAGCCCTGCGGCCACAGAGTACAGCGACACCACCTTGCCCCATGTGATGCCTGCGGGGAGACATACGGACGCTGGTCAGCGGGACCACAGCAAGGGCCTGGGGCCCGGCCGCCTCCCCCTGCGCCCACGCCGCCCCCCCTCAGCCGGGCCCCCCTGCCCCCCACCCCCAGTGGTTCTCGGCGGCGATCTCCAAGCCCCCGGCACACAGCCGCGCTCCCGGCCAGCCCTGCCCTGCCCGGCGGCCACTGGAGGACGCGAGGGGACAGCGAGAACCCTCAGCAGGAAGGGGGCCGAGGCCGGGGCTGCAGGGACCCATAGGGCACCACACACACGCACAGGAGGGGCCCCATGGTGCGCCCGCCCCTGGCCCGGCCCTTCTCCTCGAGTCCAGACCTGGATGCAGCCCCCGGGGGGAGGGCGCGGGCGCGGGGACCCGTCACACGCCGGCGAGAACAGAAACCGTCCAGAAGTGTGCAGGGGGCGTCCGCGCACCCGGGGAAAGGATGCAGGGGCAGCACCGCGGGAAGGGATGGGACACCTGCCACCGCGCGGGGAGCACGGAGCCTGGGCCACGGCGCTCAACAGGCCACGTGGGCGCGTGGGCCCAGAACAGGAACCCAGGGTGACACGGGGGGCAGGGGTCGTGGGGGGCTGGGCGAGGGGGTGTCCTTCCAGGGCAAGGAGACCGGGGGGCGGTGGCCCAGGGGCCGCTGAACGGCGCGTTTCACGGTGCTTCACTGCGATGAAGGTTTCATCCCAATAAAAGAAAGACAGTAGAAGCCCCGGACCACGTCCCTCCTGCGCCGGCCACTTCCCGACTCTTCCAAATAAACCCAAGTTCTGGGGTACCCGCTGGCTCCGCCGGGGCGGCCCGTGACCCTCTCCACGCGCCACGCTGGGGCCACAGCCTCCTTAGAGAGTGAAACCCCACCGGAGCCCCGGGCGCCTCGGGCCCGTCCACCACCCGGGTCCCCGCGCCCTCCAGGTGCCGTCCTGGTGGCCTGTCCCGGCCCCGCACCAGGGGGCAGGTGAGCCCCAGGGGGCCGGGGCCCCGCGCTCTGCTCGCGTTGGGCAGGAGCGGGGTGGCTCGGCCTCTGTGGCCGCCCGGGTGGTGCTGCCCGCGGCCGCGCCGTCCTTGTGCGGGGGTCACCCCGGCGGCTGAGGCTCGACGGCTCCCCGGGCGGCGCCTGGCCAGACGCACGTCCTCCCCGGAGAACCGTCTCCTCTGATCCTTTGCTCATTTTTGGTATTGGTTTCTGAGACTTGTTTATCTTTTGTATTTTCTGATCTTTCTGCGGTAAAATATTTCGCTCTTGTAATAAAAAACAAAACAAAAAAGCCTCCTGCCAGCTTCCACTCAGGGAGGGGAAAATCCCTTTGTCCCTGAAGGGGGCTGAGCAGCCACAGGGCCACGGCTGCCACGAGCGGCACCAGCGGCGTCTCCCCCACGGGCACGGCCACTCGGAGACGCCCCCAGACCCGGCCCGCGGCCCCCAAGATGCCCCGTCACTGCCAGAGCCGGACTCAGGCCCGGCCCGCACCTCAGCGGGGGAGCTGCCAGGAGGACGAGCGCGAGGCACCGCGTGGGGGTCAGCGTGTGCTCGGCCACCCGGGGGCCGCGGGGACGGGACCGAGGTCGGCAGACACCACGTGGCTGGGCCGACGTGGGGCGGACGCGGGGCGCAGGGAGGCCTGGCAGTGGGGGCTGGAGGCGCTGAGCACAGAGGGGACGTTGTCTCCCGCCTCGATGAAGACCCCGACTTTAACCGAAGCCACCAAGTGGACGGAGCGGCTGCGGCCTGTGCCCACCCTGCCCCGGCCCTCCCCCATCTTCCCCTCCCCCCTCCCCCTGCCCCGGCCCTCCCCCATTCCCTCCCCCATCTGTCCCCTCCGCCCTCCCCCTGCCTCCTCCCCTGCCCCTCCCCCACCATCCCCCCCCCCCCAGCGCCTCTCTGAACCTCTCAGGCCTGTACCGCCCTGAGCAAGGCCAGGCAGCTGGGGGGTGCTGCCTCGGTCCCCTCGGTGTGGGGTCCTGTCCCGTGCCCCAGCCGTCCCACCCCCCCCAGGGGCCTCCCCCGCCCAGCAGGCCGCTGCGTTCTCACAGATAAGCCTTCCTTTTAAAGGCAGACCTCAGCTCCGGAGACAGACACAGGGCGGCCACCCACGCGCCAGCAGCGGCAGGGACAAGGAGCCCGGGAGGCCTGAGGGTGGTCCCGGCCCACGTGCCCTGCACCCCACCTGCTGCCCCCTCCCCTAGGCGCCGCCCCAGGTCACTCTCGCAGGGTTGTCTGGGAGCCGGGTCACCGCCCAGGACACGCTGGAGGAACCGGGCCCCCCCACTGCCCACCAGGCACCCCTGTCACGGGGTCCTAGCCTTGCTGGCCTCTGCTGGGAGGTCAGTGCTGGCCTGGCCGTGGCCTGGAGACGGCCGGAGGCTACAGCCTGCAGCCCCATGTCCCTGGCCGTCCCGTGTCCCCAGCACACTGGCCACAGCTGAGGGAAGCCGGTCCCGTCAAGCGCGGCTCTGACCCTGCTTGTCCTCCCGCCCAGGGGTCAGTGGAGCTTCCATGGGAAGGTGCTGGAGGTCAACACGGGGCCCCCCCAGGGGGCTGGGGTCGGCCTCCGATGGGCTGAGGTGGCTCCTCTAGTCCATCTCCTCTCCCAGGGGGGCCTGGGGGGCCTCCGGCAGACTACGGGCCCCCTACAGGGGTGGGGACTGTGGCTCCCGCCCGGCCCGCACCCTCACGCCCTGCCCTGCTGCTGCCTTGGTCTCCTAGGGACAAGGACACCAAGGCCCAGGTCAGGCTGGCCGGCCACAGGCCCAGAGCTGCCTCCCAGAGGAGGGGGCGTGAGGCCTCCCTGCCCCCCCAGGGCCTTTCCAGGAAGCCCCAGCAGGAGGCTGGCCTGACGCCCATCGGGAACACTCCAGCTCTGCAGCCCTCAAGCTCTCCGCCCCTGAGGGCTGGGACTGGCCGTCCCCTCATCACAGGGTCCCCAGGCTCAGAGCAGCACCGAGAGGCAGGATCGCAGATGGGGGGCGGGCTGGCACCTGTTACACTCGGGGATACAGGAAGCGCGTGTGCCAGGATGGGACATGAGGCCGCGGGTGGGGCGGTACGGTCTGTGGACCACATAGAGGGGACAAGGAGGGGACACGGGGACAGGACAAGGTTCAGGGGGATGAGTCAGCCTGGGGGCGGGTGTACACATGGGAGGAGCAGGAGCAGACGTCACCTGCTCCGAGGACACAGGCCACCAGGGGGTTCCCAGGTGAGTGTGGGCCAGCCAGGGGGACAGGTGAGGCAGTCCTCCCCGGACGCTCCCCAGCAAGCCACTGCACCCGGGCTCCTGCCCTCAACGTCCTGCCCTGACACGGGGTCCCCCCGAGAAGAGCCTCTGACGGAGAACGGGGCTGAGCGAGTGATGCTGTAACGTCTGAAGTGACATCACAAGAGCCTAGCGGTGGCCACCCAGGCTGGGACACAGCCGCCCAGGACCTGCTGCCAGGTTCCCCTGGGCCAGGACGTGCGGGACCCACTCAGGACAGCCTGGCCCCGCAGCCACCGGGCAGCAGCACCAACTCCACCCAGTCCCCGCGCTACGTGGGCCGGCCGGGTCCCCCCAGTCCGCAGAGCCCAGGGTGCCGCACGTCACGGTCCGAGTCGGCCTGGGGCTGCTCTGTGCTGGTGGCTCTGGGGCCCGAGGCGCAGGGCCAGGCCTACCTCCAGAGAAGATCTGAGATGCCACCGCCAGGAAGGCGTCAGTCACCACGCTCTCGGACTGCAGGGAGATGTTCAGCTGGCGCGCCACGTTGCGGTAGACGCTGGGCCGGATCAGCTCCAGCTCGTCCCCTGGGCAGGCGCACGGTGGGGTCAGGGTGGGGTCAGGGAGGCCCGGGCCTGCGTGACCCCAGCCCCGCCCCCCCTGCCCCGGGCCTGGGGCCACCCGCTGCTCAGGGCCCCGGCCGCACCCGGCACCAACTGGCCTAACCCCTGACCCCTGACCCCGCTCAGCCTGTTGGATGCCCACCCCCGCTTGACCCCACCGTGGCCCGGGGACAAGAGTGAGCAGGCACAGTGGGCACCCCCGACCTGCCCGGCGGCCCGCCCCCCCGACAAGCCAGCCCCCCGCCCCCACCCAGGGCCAAGCCTGCCGGGCCGGTGGGGCGGGATCCCTGGGACGAGCTGGGCCGTGCCTGACGGTGACTCACGGCCGCTGAGCGCTCGGGGCAGGCGGGCGGGGCAGCAGCCAGGGCCACGCGGGCAGGGGCCGTGCCAGCGCCCCCATGCAGGTGGGGCTGCCTCGGGGGGCGTCCTTGCCGGGCACGGGCACGGCGCTGCGACCCAGGAGCGAAGGTCTCGCCCGGGGCCCCAGGCGCCGCCCAGACCCGGTCTCCCGGAGCCGCGTGGGCGTGTCGCGGCCCTGCCCGCTGCCCGCTCACCGAGGAATTCCACGCGCCCCGGCGCCGCCGCTGGTGCAGCCAAGCAAATGGAAGCGCTGCGGACCGGCCGGGCCGATGAGGGCGTCTGTGCCATCACGGGCCGGGCCGCACGCCATGCAGGCAGCCCGGGGAGGACGCGGAGCAGACCGGCCAGGCCGCGGGCAGCGGGGGGGCATGGGAATTCCCAGGGCGGCCGTTCCCATGCAGACCTTGGCCCCGGACGCCGGGGCACGCTGGGGGTGCAGGGGCTCATGTGGAGGGCGCAAGAGCAGAGTGCAGCAGGTGGGTGTGCACGGGAGGACTAGGGGGCCTGGGGCGTCCCCCTCCTTGGCCACTGGCAGGGCTCAGTGCCAGCGACCGCAGAGCCCGGGCCGCCCCTGCTCCCCACGACGAGGCCCGAGGCGTCGGGGCGCCTGAGCAGGGCTCTCCAGACAAGTTTCAACAACAGGGACTCTGGCCTGGAGCAGAGGCAGCGCTGGATGCTGCTCACGGACTAGGACGCCAGGCGGCTGGGCCGGGGCAGGACGTCCCGCTGGTCCCCGGGCACCGGCGGCTCTTGGGACGCCATCCTCTCCAGGGCCCAGAAGGTCCCCCCGCATCACGCCCACAGCCCAGCCGAGCACATGGCCGTCGGTGGCCGATCTCAGGGGAGTCCAGGCCCTCCGACCCCCGGGGGGGCCCCAGGCCCACCGGCCATCCGCACCTAGGAGCCTCTCCCCTCCTGAGGCCCTGGGGGTGAGCACCCCTCCCGGTGGGCTTCAGACGGCCCCCCGTGCCCCCTCACCCCCTCCTGGGCAGCTGGGTCTACGCAGCCCTGCTCTCAGGGTCCACATGAAACAGGAACAACCCCGCACCATGGTCAGCCTGAGAGGCAGGGTGTCCCCCGCCTCGGAGCCCCCCTCCAACCCTGCCCACACGCCATCGAGCCTCCGTGTTTGCTCCCCACTGCCCACTCTGAACGACCTCAGCCCCGGGCGGGTGGGGGTCACCTACTCCGAGGGGCTGGCCCCACCCTTCTGAGGTCCAGACCCCCAGAACGTGATAATGGTTACTGTGCTCCGCGTGACCTCACTCCAACCAAGTACCCCCAGGGTCCACACAGGCCAGCTGGGGTTCCGGCTGCGGCGACCCTCTGCGAGCCCCAGTTTCCAGCGCTAGCAGCCTCCAAGCAAGAAGCAGGCAGCGGGATTTCAGGCAGGAGACAGACTTTCCAAAACAAACATGGGGACACGTGGTCCCACAAAGGGTTCCTGTGCCCAGCTCAGTACAAGGGTCACTCGGGGAGTCTAGCCTTCCCGGGAATTGGGCCCCGCAGGCATCGCGGGGGCTGGGCCCGGCGGGCAGGGGCCTGGGGGCAGGGAGGGGCGGGGGGTGCCCTGCAGGCTGACCCCGAGCCCGGCCCTCGCCCTCGCCCTCGCCCTCGCCCTCTCGGGCCTCCCCGCACTCACCCAGGCGCAGCAGCACCGCGCACACCTCGGCCAGGCGGCCCCCGGGGGCGGGAGCGGCGCGCTCGGGCGCGGTCCAGGCCAGGCCGGCGCGCAGCAGCCGCGCGTGCACGAACTCCCGGCCCAGCGCCTTGGCCTGGGCCACCAGCTCCTTGTCGCTGGGCGAGCGGTCAAAGGCGTCCATGATCTCCGCGGCGAGGACCGAGGAGCGCCGCAGCACCTCCATGGCGGGGACGCGGGCCAGGGGCGCGGCACCTGCGGGCGGACAGGCTCAGCGGCCCGGCCCGGCTGGCGCTGGGGAGCCCGCCCCGGCAGGAGGGCGCCCGGGGGCGCGGGGAGGGGGCGCGGGGAGGGGGGAGCAGGGCGCGCGGGGAGGGGGCCCCGGGGCGCGGGGAGGGGGGAGCAGGGCGCGCGGGGAGGGGCGCGGGGAGAGGGCCCTGGGGCGCGGGGACGCGGGCGCGGGGAGGGGGGAGGGGGGAGCAGGGCGCGCGGGGAGGGGGGAGCAGGGCGCGCGGGGAGGGGGGAGCAGGGCGCGCGGGGAGAGGGCCCTGGGGCGCGGGGACGCGGGCGCGGGGAGGGGGGAGCAGGGCGCGCGGGGGGGGGGGGGCAGGGCGCGCGGGGAGGGGGGAGCAGGGCGCGCGGGGAGGGGGCCCTGGGGCGCGGGGAGGGGCGCGGGGAGGGGGGAGCAGGGCGCGCGGGGAGGGGGCCCCGGGGCGCGGGGAGGGGGCGCGGGGAGGGGGGAGCAGGGCGCGCGGGGAGGGGCGTGGGGAGGGGGCCCCGGGGCGCGGGGCGGAAGGACCCTTGCCTTGGGGACCCCAGATCTTTAAAAATATGGTGTCACATCCGTTCGGGTCCCGAGTTAAATCGCAAAGCTCCCCGCGGCCGGGATCGGAGGGACCGCGGGGAGAGGGCGCGGGCTCTGGGGCCGCGTGCCCGCGCTCGAAGACGAGTGCGCGGCGGCGGCGGCGGCGCGGGCGGGGGCCGGGCGAGGCCGGGGGCGGGGGCGGGGGGCGGCCGGCCTTGCGCCCCAGGACCGGCCCGGTTCCCGCGCGGCGGCCCTGCTCACCTCTGCCGCGGCATGTCGCGGGCGCGGGGCCGGGAGGGGCGCTGGCCTCGGGTGTCCGTCCCGAGCGGCGAGGACGCGCCCGCCCGTCGCCAGCCGGTGCGCCCGGGGGCCCGCGGAGTGCGCCGGCCTGTGCGCCCGGGGGCGGCGGCGGCGAGGGGCGCGGGGCGCGGGGCGCGGGCTCCGCGGGCGGGAGGCGAGGCTTGGGGCTTCGCCTTCTAAGGAAAAGGCAGCCCCCGGGGCGGAGCCGCGGCCGAGCTTCCCGCCGCCTCCCCGCCCCGCTTAAGGAGGCCCGAGCGAGTTCCCGGCGCAGCTCCGGAGGCCACCGGCCGCCGCCGTCCCCGCGACCCCGGGGGGTTGCCGCCTGGCGCCGGCCCGCAGCTCGCTGCGCTCATTGTTTCCTAGAGGCTCTTTACATATTGTGGATGCGCGCCCGGGCCTGCCGCGGGCCTCCGGGGGGGCCCCGACCCGGTCCTACTGCAGGCGCTGCACAGAGCTCCTTGCAGTGGGGGGCGATCCTGAGTAAAGTCCAACTTATTTGTCGTTTCTCTTATGATTACTGATTTTTCACTAGGATAGTCTCCATTTTCTTTTAGAAGCTTAAATGTTGGGGATCCCTGGGGGGCTCAGCGGTTGAGCGTCTGCCTTCATCTCAGGGCGTGATCCGAAGTCCTGGGATCCAGTCCCACCTGCATCGGGCTCCCCGCAGGGAGCCTGTTTCTCCCTCTGCCTGGGTCTCTGCCCTCTGTGTGTGTGTGTTTCTCTCTCATGAATAAATAAATAAAAATCTTTAAAAAAAATAAAAGCTTAAATGTTTTCCCATTGACATTTAAATCTATGATGGGTCACCGTTCTTCTGAATAGTATCTAGGGTGCTCTCTCTCTCTCTCTCTCTCTGTAAAATATGTATTTTATTTTATTTTTAATTTTTATTTATTTATGAAGTCACACACACAGAGAGAGAGAGAGGCAGAGACACAGGCAGAGGGAGAAGCAGGCTCCATGCACCGGGAGCCCGACATGGGACTCGATCCCGGGTCTCCAGGATCGCGCCCTGGGCCAAAGGCAGGCGCCAAACCACTGCGCCACCCAGGGATCCTGTAAAATATATATTTTAATATGAATATCCAGTTGACCCCGCACCATTTACTGTAAGAGACCATCATTTCCCCCCTCCAACTGGGAAAGAGCCTCCATCATAAAAAGTAACGTATATGTGACCTGCTCTGCACTCTTCCATCTCAGTGGCCAATCCCTCTCTCCTTGTACCAGCACACGGTTAACCAGCCTGCTCTGATTCACATTCATGCAGGTTCTTCCCATGGGCACATAGAATGTTAATCAAAATAGGGGTGCCTGGGGGCGCCTGGCTGGCTCAGTCCCTTAAGCATCTGCCTTGGGCTCCGGTCATGAGCCCAGGGTCCTGGGATCCAGCTGCATGCGGCCCCCTGCTCCCAGCTCAGCCCACAGTCTGCTTCTCTCTCTCCATCTGCTCCTCCCCCCTTCTCAAGCTCTCGCTCAAATAAATAAATAAATAAATAAATCTTGGGATTTTTAAAAAATATATTTATTTATTTATTCAGAGAGAGAGACAGAGAGGCAGAGACACAGGCAGAGGGAGAAGCAGGCTCCATGCAGGAACCCCAATGCGGGACTCAGTCCGGGTCCCCAGGATCACACCCCCGGCTGCAGGCAGCGCTAAACCGCTGCACCACCGAGGCTGCCCTAAATAAATAAATCTTTTTTTTTTTTAAGCACCTAACTTTTGCAAGTAAGCTCTTTTCTTTTTTTAAAAAATTTTTATTTATTTATGATAGTCACAGAGAGAGAGAGAGAGAGAGAGAGGCAGAGACATAGGCAGAGAGAGAAGCAGGCTCCATGCACCGGGAGCCCGATGTGGGATTCGATCCCTGGTCTCCAGGATCGCGCCCTGGGCCAAAGGCAGGCGCCAAACCGCTGCGCCACCCAGGGATCCCTAAATAAATAAATCTTAAAGGTGGGGCACCTGGCTGGTTCCACTGATAGAGCATCTGACCCTTGATCTCAGGGGTGTGAGTATGAACCCCATGTTGGGGCTTTTTTTTTTTTTTTTTAACTTAACAATAAAATCTTTTTAAAAATGTTGTTCAGGGCAGCCCCAGTGGCTCAGCGGTTTAGCACCACCTATGGCCCAGGGTGTGATCCTGGAGACCTGGGATCGAGTCCCACATCGGGCTCCCTGCACGGAGCCTGCTTCTCCCTCTGCCCGTGTCTCTGCTTCTCTCTCTCTGTGTCTCTCATGAATAAATAAATAAAATATTTTTAAAAATGTTACTCAGGGGATTCCTGGGTGGCTCGGCAGTTTAGCGCCTGCCTTTGGCCCAGGGTGCAGTCCTGGAGTCCTGGGATCGAGATCCACGTCGGGCTTGCTGCATGGAGCCTGCTGCTCCCTCTGCCTGTGTCTCTGCCTCTCTCTCTAGGTCTATCATGAATAAATAAATAAAAATATTTTTTAAAATGTTATTCATTCTTTAAAAGATTTTATTCATTTAGGCGAGAGAGAAAGCAAGAAAGCACAAGCAGGGGGGAGGGGCAAAGGGAGAGAGAGAAGCAGGCTTCTCTCTCCACCCCCCACCATTGATCAGGAAGCCCCATGTGGGGCTCAATCCCAGGACCCCTGAGCTCACAACCTGAGCTGAAGGCAGACACTCAACTGACTAAGCCATCCAGGCACTCCCCCGAAAAAAATGTTATTCAAAATAGACCATATCCTGAGCCATAAAAATCTAAACAAATTTCAAAGGATGAAATCATACAAGTGTGTCTTCTCTGAATTAATTAAAGTTTAATGTCAAAAAAACTATTAGAAAGCCTCCAAGTGCTTGGAATTTAAACATCACACTTCTAAACACTTAAGACAATTCTAAACACTTAAGACAATTGGACAATAGTAAACCACAAGGGAAATTGTAAAATACTTTGCAGTGAGGAATAGTGAAAATATGACATCAAACACTGTTGGATGCAGGGAAAGCTGTGCTTAGAGGGAACTTTATAGCTTTAGAAGAAAGGCTGATGATTAATGTTCTACGTTCCAATTCAAGCACTAGAAAAAGAACAAGTTTAACCCAACAGTGAAAGGAAATAATGAAAACAAGAGCAAAAATTACAGAAAATCAACAAAGCCAAAAGTTGGTTCTTTGAAGAGATTAAGAGGATTCATCAACTCCTGGAAATACCGATTAAGAAAAAGAAAACGGGGGATCCCTGGGTGGCTCAGTGGTTTAGCACCTGCCTTTGGCCCAGGGCACGATCCTGGAGTCCCAGGATCCAGTCCCGAGTCGGGCTCCCGGTGTGGAGCCTGCTTCTCCCTCCTCCTGTGTCTCTGCCTCTCTCTCTCTCTATGTCTATCATAAATAAATAAATAAATCTTTCAAAAAAAAAAAAAGAAAACATATCAGGAATAAAAAAGAGGACATCAACCGATACTACAAACATTAAAAGGGTAATAAGGGGCATCTGACTGGCTCTAGTCAGTACAGCATGAGACTCTTGATCTCAGATCTGTGAGTTCAAGCTCTGCATTGGACTCCATGCTGGGTGTGGAGGCTACATAAAATCGATTAATTGGTTAATTAATTAAAATTTTCAAAGAGGATAATGAGAGTATAATATGAACAACTATGACAGTAAATGTGAAATGTAAATGAAACACAATTTACCAAAATTGACATTAGAAGAAATAGAAAATCTGGGTAGTCCTATACCAATTAAGTAAAATTAATCCATAATTTAAAATCTTCCCACATGTACTCGCTCCGGCAGCACATACACTAAAATCTTCCCACAGCGTGAGCACCCCGCGGCCGGCTATGCACTGCGGGGCCCTGCTCTGGGCCGGCGGCTCCTCCCAGGTCTGCGCCTCCTC